AACCGTCTGAATACAAATGCTGAAAGCCCAGTGTTTGATATTTACTTAGATCTGCTGTAGCAGGGTGTTTTCTTCTTTGAAGGCCCATGCTGCAGAAGATGCATAGCTTTTCACAGTTGTGTTTGTGAACATGTGTTCATATTGCCTCAGAACAACATTTTTCAAACTGAGATCTAATGCAGCTCATGCTTTCAAGTCAAAATAAACAGCTGTTTACACTCCTAAATACTTCTGTAGAAAATTCAAACTTACACAATCACTACAGAGTCAATCTCCTGAAGCATGAGGCTTTGTGGATATGTGGATAAATCTAGAGAACTTTGAAAGGCTGTTGGAAATAACTGTTCTGCCCCTTCTTCTCTTGAAAAATAAGGCCTTACATTTTCCTTAGACACGATATTTGCAGGAGATATCAGTTAATTTCCCATCTTCATGGGTCTTTTTTCCCTGGTAGGTCAATATTCCAAATTCTGTCTTCTATAGCTAAGCTCCAACAAAGAACAACACAACCACCAACCCACAAAATGCTTTCTTCAGAGAATGGCTTTTCTACTTGCCCTCATATCCTCCAGGATCAGGAGCCAAACAATCCTCTCCTCCGGCATAGCCTCTGTAAATCAATACATTTAAAAATACAACTGTGTTTCAAGCAAATCAAAGAAAAGGAAGCCAGCTGGTAGGTTTTCCACTCTCAGGAAAGCTGAAGTCTATGCCAGGATATATCCTGGTATTGAGTTCAGTGCCAGGACTGAGCTCAGTGCCAGGACACAAGCCAGTGATGCCACCACACCCCAGAGGCAGCGATGGCCTTTAATCTAGGGTTGAATCACTACAGTTGAAGATGAAAATCTGGACAGATTATGAATGAAACTCTGGAACCCCTCTGGAGATCATTAGATTTACTTGTCTATGCCTCCCCCCCGCCGCATGACACTGCTCCTATTTACACATTCTTGGGAGAGATTTGACAACAGAAGGTGCCTGCAGTTTTCTCAGCAGGAGCAAGAGGTCAAAACAACTATCCCGATACCATTATATCTCTCTCTTCACACTGGGACCATCATTACATCGTATGCAATACGTGATTGTTTTTGTTGGTTTGTTTTTCCATTATTACTCAAAGTATTCCCACTGCATTTCCTTCCTATATCAAAACCCATCATTTCCTGTATCATTATTGAAATATAATTCTTACCGCTCTCTTTCTTTCTGCCCTACCACTGAAGAGCACAGTGGGATGTGAAAACAGAATACGGTAACGTACTCAGCATGCTGTAATTATATGAATAAGTTTGGAAGATCTCTAAAAAAAGCATGCCACTTGACATTGGCCACGTATATATATATATATCCACTCTCCTGAATGACCCTGTGTCAGCAAGTCAGAAGTATCAAATAACTCAAAGCAATTCAAAACCAGCAAATCCAAAGTACCAAATTAGATTTAACTAACATTATTGGCACTGGGCCTGAACCACAAACTTAGATCCAGCTCTTAATTTTCCCAAGGTTCACAGGAATGGGAAAAAGGGACACGTGAATTCAGATTCCAGATTAGATCCATTTCTTGTTAGAACAATGGATACAGAGAGAGAGGAAAAGAGAGAGCACCCTATATTACAAAGAAATAAGACAGTAAAAGTCAGATCCCAAACAGCACCGTGGTCATTAATTAAATGTATATGAGCAACCCACACAGGTTGTAATACAGCTAAGTTGCTCAACAAGAATTTTCAAGTGTTACTAAAAGTGCTACAGTGGAACTCACGGTGCATAACTGCATCTACACGTCACAATCCTGGTGAAACCAGGACTTGGGCATCCCAAGCTACAGGCCCGTTCACAAGGGGAACAACCCTTACAGCAGTGCCCTGGGGAATTGGATCTGGCACACCTGCTCCAGGCACACCTTTACACACACCAGGCAGAAGAGACACAACGTATATATTCAAACATATATATTCATTCAAAATTACGGCTGCAGAAAAAAAGGTATGCATACAGAGAGAAGAAAGAATACAGGATTGGGGAGAGGTTTCAATTAGACACATAGTTTCAAGGGAAAGAAGGATTGCAGATACTTTTCAGTTTATCAGCTGGTTTAGCTGCTTCATATCATCCACGTACTTAATGCTTTCAGGGTAGTAAGTCCCATTTCTAGTCAGTGTTCATCAGTCTTAAGTCATCTAACTCTTGTGCGTTCCCTGCACAAGAAGCTAAAAACAACGCCAACCAGCAGATACTGGTTCTCATAAACTTGTTTCATCAGATGAAGACTTGTTTCCAAATCCAATTACATATTGAAGTTTAAAAAGAAGAAGAAATTTAAAAAAAAATGAAATCAAGAGTTTATTTCCAAACAACTGGAGTGAAAAAATGCTGCCCTGGGGGGTCAAACTGTAACATATGTTGGTTACAAAAAAGCTTCTTAAGAAAGCTCAACACCACAAAGTATTTTTCGCTTGCATTCTAAAAGATTTACTCGATAACTTAATATAATAACTTAGCATATATCTTTTGGGTTTTTTTTTTTATTAATCACAAAAAATAATGCTGTCATCACTGGAAATTTCAGCTCAGTAATGACAGAATCTTACATCCACTGAAGTCAACGGAATTCTCTCTGCTGACTTAAGTGTATTGGGCATATGCTACAGTAGTACATCATTTACACAGAGATATTCCAATCAGTGAGTGATCTGAAGGCTGCAAACTACCACCTCGCTCTTTCTTTTGTAGCACTCACTGACAAGAAAAAGGCCAGTAGTTCTGAAGATTTCAGGGATCACGAAGATTTGGGCTGCTTCTCTGAGCTATAAAGTCCTAAGTCTATTTCAAAATACTTAGCATGAGTCACCATCAAGACCATTAATCCATTAGCTCACTAATTTTCAAAGTAATTAATTAATCACTCAAACTCCCTCTGTGTCAAATTGAACTGACACCTGAATTTCACCCTGTGGTCTGCTTTGACAGCTGCATTCCTCAGAGATCACAGGGTTCAGGACAAATTCTGGGAGAAGTGTGGGGGAAAAAAGTGTTAAAGTGCTCTTAGTTAAGTAAGGAGGTGATTCTCTAGAGAACAATCTTGAGGAAAAAATTTTAAAAAAAAGCCTAACCTCTTGCCCCCTCCACCAAAAAAAGAAAGTGGAAAGCCTTTCCTGAAAAAGTGGCACATACCACTGAAAAAGAATCATCTAACAATAATCACAGAAAAGTTGCAGTAATTACCAGCACACAGAAAGAACTATTCTTTACCTTTACTGGATACATCTAAAATAGTCTCATCAACCTTCTTTAGCCCTCCTCTCCTTTTTTATAAATGTAAAATGTAAAAGAATACCAGGAGACATAATTAAGGCATTCCAGAAATAGGCCCTGATTCTGCAAGCACAAAGGTAACTTTAACCATGTAAACACATTTCAGTGAGCCTACCCACATAATGAAAATAGCAGAAACACATGCTTGCAAGAGTCAGAACCCCAGATTAACAAGTCATGGGGACAGGAACTGCCTTGAGCAGAGTGGCTGTCTTTAATAACTGATTTTATAGCACCACTAGGGATTTATATCATCTTTCATCCAAAGTCCTCGAGTTCAGCTTCAAAACTTCAACTAGCATTCAAAAACACATTGTGCACTGAAACACAGGGCAAGGGTTAAACGTATAGAAGTGACGATGGATACTGGGTGGCTCCTGAGACACTAAACCCTGCTAAAGGCTATCAGATGGCTCTAAAAAAAAGTCAAGATAGTATTCAAAGGAACACAGAAGTAAAACACTACTCAGTAGAGCACTCTTAAAAAATGAGGCCAAATTAACGGTAAATTTGATTTTAAATTATGTTTTTATTCTAATCTACGAGGTATCAGAATCTTCCCCATCTTTCTCTTAATTAGTTTTGCCTCCAAAAAAAAAGTCTTCTTTTGAAACAATGGGACCAGGCTCTGAATTAGGGAGGCCTGAGCACATGAACACAGGACTGACCCAGCGCACCAAGGACTCTGCACGTTTTTGTGCGTTAGGCAGAGCTCTGCTCTCTGGATGCTGTATCCTTGGAAACTATTATGCAGGAAACTGTTCCGCAAATACAAAACTTCTGTCTGCTCCAAGAGCTTTTCTCTGAAATACTTTTATTGGGTTTTGGATCTCCTTAAAGCTAAGAGCACACACGGCCCTTTGTCATGCTCCCGCGAGCTCCCAAGAGCAAGATGCAGTGCAACAAGCGGTGTTGGGAGAGTATTTTCCTCCCACTTCACCAGACAGAGGGGCAGAAAGAGTTCTGCAACTTTTCCTGTGCTCCCTTCTGTACAAAAAAAGAGCTGGACACTTTTATCATTTTCTTTGGTGCACTGCAGAATATGTAGCTACAAGATAAAAGAATAAGGAAGAAAATAATGAAAGGGCATCACCATTATGCCAATCAATGGCATTGTCTGGAAAATTTGAAATTCAAACATCATGCCTGGGTGCCTGACTTCAAGGGCAGAACTCCAGAAGCCAGCAGACATATCAGAAGTATGCAAGAAGAACCAGGTAACACTTCACGAGGCTCGTGGGCGCCGCAGCCCTTCACAAGGGCGCCCAGCAGCACCAATTGTTCCAAGGGCGGCCGACAAACGGCTATTCTCACCAAAGCCCTCGCTGTACCCGACTAGGGCAAAGCCCAGACCCTGCCTGTGTGAAGGTGCTCGTGCCCGCCTCGGCTTGGCCGTGCCTCCCACACGAAACGCTAGCTCGCCGAGCGCCGCCACGCTCGCAGGGATGGCTGGCAAGGGGCAGGCGCCCCGGGTGCGAGACGCGGGCAGCCCCGGCCCTGGTGCTGTGGGGCGCCGCGGGGCCCGCCGCAGGTGCCCCGGGCCCGGGCGGACACCCGGCTCTGTGGCGGGCCGCCGCGCTCCGCGCCCGCCTCGCTCCCCTCTCCCTGCTTCCCGGAGCGGCTCCTTTGCCCACAGCCTCCCTCCCGGCCCCTGAGGCGGCGTCGCGCGCGGCGCTCACCTTGTGCGGGGCGCGCAGCAGGCGGTGCACGGCGGGCAGCTGCGTGGCCAGCGGGATGTCCTCGCGGAAGGTGTAGAGCGGCGGCCGCGTGGGCTCGGGGAAGTTGGTGCTGTTGAAGGGGTCGGTGTCATCCAGGAACTGCACGCGGCACACCAGCGTGGCCGTGGCCATGGCGCGGCCATGCAGCGGCGCGCCCGAGTGGC